GCAGTTGTTTCAATTAATTTGCACAAGGATGTAAGATATAGCAGGTGGAATCATGTTTCTGGGGTGGTATAAGGTGCCGACCATTTATCCACCATCTTCAGCAATGTATTATATATATATATATATATATATATATATATATATATATATATATACTTGATAACTGGGGTTAAGTTGAGCCTCAAAAGACGCTCAAATTAAGGAACCTCTTCGAGAGTGCGTTCATTCATCATGACTGGTGATAATTTATAATCCCGGTGATAAGGAAATGTTACTTGCTAGAATTCAGTAGCCAGGCTCTGGTCGTCTTGATTTTGGGAGGTGCATCCATAGACTGTGGTATCGTCGGCATTACTAATGTTCTTAGAATTCTACTTAGTTTTCCTTCATACGACGCTTGGTCTTAACGAATGAGAATACTTACTGTTTGCAATCTAATCTCGTTTGTAAATACGTTGTACGCTTCAGGTGAAAAGGACAAAACAACACAACATGCAATCGATAATTTGCAACGCTAAAATGAACAATCAATCCTAGCATTTTTCATTTTTCTTTTATTTCATTGTAGGAGGAAAACGTTGACAGGAATTTGCCTTTTGACCCCCGACACTTCGTTCCAAGCTTGGGAAGGTTTTATTAAGCTGTGAAGAATTCAATCTGGAAAACCAAATCCGGAGAAGAAAAATCCATTCTTTTGCTTGTAGACTTATGATAAAATCTTTGAGAAAATTGATGACGGAATTGGTATTCTATTTTATTTGAAGATAATCTTATTTTTCGAAAATTTGATCCTCACAAATTAAAGGTAAAAGAGAGACAGAGGAAAACGAAGCCCAACTGAATCTGGCGAGTTTAGGTGAACAGATGCTGCAGCAGAGTATGGGAGAGATAACTACAAGGGAAGGAAACTCCGAGTCGTGATACCGGTGAGGAATATATATATATATATATATATATATATATATATATATATATATATATATATATATATATTCATACATGTTTCATTAAATAATATAGACAAGTGTTGTCTATTTATTTTATGTAAATTCTTTTATAACGTCTGATAAGCTTAATAATCGTTAAACAAAGAAAAAGAAAATCACAATATTGATCCATATTTTTAATCCAATCTAATCTTTCACCGAGTGTTGGATTTTTTCTCGACTATGTCATATATATCATCCAATAGGACTATATATATATATATATATATATATATATATATATATATATATATATATATAATAAAATTGGACGAGAAAATAGCTATAACTGCTATATAACAATAAAAATACTACGTTACTCAAAAATCGAATAAATAAAAACTAAGCAAATAAATAAGAAAAAACAAGTAAATTTAATCGAAATAAATGAACAAATTATCAAATCACTCTCGCTAAAATAACCGTCGGAACTAATAAAAAAATAAGCATAAATAAGCAAAAACAAGTAAAAATAATCAATCCAAATAAATAAATAAAATTATAAAGAAATTAAAGACTGTCCCCCGACAAAATAGCAAAATAGACTGGCAATCAATCCAAAAAAACTGGATGAATAAATAGCTTTATCTTCCCAAACCAAAAAAACTATTAAATAAGCGACCTAAACAAATCCACCCTCATTTTTTACAACGTTAATAAAACATCGAAAACCGAAAAGAATAAATATATAAAATAAAAAAAGAAAACAAAAACAAGTAAAATAAATTAACCCAAATAAATTAGTAAACATGCCACCCACGCCAAAATAATTGCCAGAATGGACTACCCACAATACACCACTGGCCCATATATATAAATAGTCGAGAAAAAAATACAAAATTTGTGGCCTGACGATTGCGTCTAGCATGAAACAGCCTGTCGCCTCTGAGTGTTGACTTCAATGTTCACTTTTATATTTATATTTACATACGCTCTATCTCTGATATTGAGCAGTTTATTCCATAAATTTAGCACACCTTAAAAATATATTCCTTTATATATTCATACATATATATATAACTAAAAAATTGAAGAAAATGACGATTGTGATTATTATCACAAGCACCTGCCAATTCATTAACCATTTTCAAGGGGTTTGTTCTTAGTATATTTTCTGTGTTGGCATTCTATGTTGTATAGGGTTAGTAGTAATTCTTAATCTGTATTGTAAAGGAGTAGTAGTAATTCTGCGTAGTATATAGTAGCAGTATTGTTTAGGTGGAGAAGTAATGAAAATCTGGGATTATAGGAGTAGCAGTAATTATAATATGGATTTTATATGTGTAGTCGTAATTCTAATCTGTGTTTTAAAGGTGTAGTATGAATTCAAATCTCTGTTGTATAGTAATAATAGTCATTCTAATGTGTTCTATAGGTGTAGTAGTAATTCAAATCTCTGTTCTATAGATGTAGTAGTAATTCAAATCTCTGTTCTATAGATGTAGTAGTAATTCAAATCTCTGTTCTATAGATGTAGTAGTAATTCTAATCTGTGTTGTAACAGTGTAGTAATAAATCTATTCTGTGTTGTAAACGAGTTGTAGTAATTCTAATATGTGTCTTATAGGTCTAGCAGTAATTACAATCTCTGTTCTATAGGTGTAGTAGTAATTCTAATATGTCTAATAAAGGAGTAGTAAAAATTCCAATAAGTGTTACATAGTGTTTTATGGGAGTAGTAGTAATTTTATTCTGTGTTGTATATTACGGATAGTAATTCTAATCTGTATTTTAAAGGAGTATTAATAATTCTAATCTGTGTTATATAGGAGTAGTAGTAATTCTGATATGTCTCATACGTCTAGCAGTAATTCTAATCTGTGTTGTATAGGTGCAGTAGTAATTTTAATTTTTTTTATAGGAGTAGTTATACTTCCAATATGTTTTGTAAAGGGGTAGCAGTAATTCCAACATCTGTTGTAAAGCAGTAGCAGTAATTTTAATCTATGTGTTGTATAGAAGGACTATTAATTCAAATCTGTTGTATAGAAGTAGTAGTAATTTTAATCAGTGTTCTATAGGTGTATTAGCAATTCTTATATATGTTGTATAGGTGTAGTAGTAATTCAAATCTGTGTTGTATTCTAATCTGTGATATGTATTAGTAGTTGCAGTAGTAGTAGTAATCTTAATCTGTGTTTTTATAGAATAGTAATAATTCAATATTCTGTTATATAGGTGTAGTAGTAATTCAACTCTTTGTTTTATAGTTGTAGTAGTAACTCTAACTTGTGTTGTATAGGAGTAGCATTAATTACAATCGGTGCTGTATAGGAGGAGCAGTAATTTTAATATCAATTTTAAAGAACTTGTAGTAAGTCAAATCTCTCTTGTATATTAGTAGCAGTAATTGAAATATTTGTTGTATAGGAGTAGTAGTAATTCAAATCTCTGTTATACAGGAGTAGTAGTAATTCAAATCTCTGTTATACAGGAGTAGTAGTAATTCTAATCTCTGTTGTATAGCAGTAGAAGTAATTTTAATCTGTGTTTTATAGGCGCAGTATTAATTTTAACCTGTGTTGTATAGGTGTAGTAGGAATTCTAACTTATGTTTCATAGGAGTAGTAGTAATTTTAATCTGTGTTTTATATAACCCAGTTGTATAGGCGCAGTATTAATTTTAACCTGTGTTGTATAGGTATAGTAGGGAATTCTAACTTATGTTTCATAGGAGTAGTAGTAATTTTAATCTGTGTTTTATAGGCGCAGTATTAATTTTAACCTGTGTTGTATAGGTGTAGTAGGAATTCTAACTTATGTTTCATAGGAGTAGTAGTAATTTTAATCTGTGTTTTATAGGCGCAGTATTAATTTTAACCTGTGTTGTATAGGTATAGTAGGAATTCTAACTTATGTTTCATAGGAGTAGTAGTAATTTTAATCTGTGTTTTATAGGCGCAGTATTAATTTTAACCTGTGTTGTATAGGTGTAGTAGGAATTCTAACTTATGTTTCATAGGAGTAGTAGTAATTTTAATATATGTTATATAGGAGGAGTAGTAATTCAAATTTGTATTGTATAGGTGTAGTAGTAATTCTAAACTGTGTTGTATAAGATTAATAATTCCAATCGATGTTATAATAGGGGAGTAATAATTCTAATCTCTTACTGTGTAGCAGTAATTGAAATTTGTGTTGTCTAGCAGTAGTAATAATTCTAATATATAATAGTTGCAATTTTAATCTGTTTTTTATAGGAGTAGTAGTAATAATTCTAATAAGTGATGTATAGGAATAGTAGTACTTCTAATCTGTGTTGTTTAATATCAGTAGCAATTCATTTTTTTCGTTGCCTTCTGAAAAGCCTCTGACACGTCCCGACTCGTTTTCAAAGCAAAATGAATAGGAAGGAATGCTGACCTAACAATGGTCAAAAGAGTGTTAATATTCTTAAGTGCCAAATCTAGGATTTTGTCCGGATCAGTTGTCTTTGTCGAAGAGGTACCTACTTTAATTCGATAAAAAAACAAAAAACAAACAGTATACCAAAAGCTTAAAAAAAAAGTATTATAGGAGGAGCTTGGTTGCCTAGTGCGGTTTCTTGCGAATGGCCTTGTGTCAGACTACCAAACTTCTCCGTAGAAGCGTATTTGATATTCCCTTAGAACATCAATGGTTCATGACAAGTTAGCAATGTAAAAAGGGGACAAAAACGATTAGATAAGAAAAGGCATAACAAGAGGTAATTTTTTTTTCCAACAACAAATTTGGCAGGGTGCAGTAGAGGGGGGGAATGCAAAGTAGAGTTCTTGGTCTCTGGAAAAGGCGGTTCAACCAAAGCTGCACAATTTGAGGCTGGCTTTAATGGTCGGAGGTTGTTGCGCGTCAAAAATAGTAATGTTGGCGCCAATGTCTTTGGAGAAGAAATAGTCCAAAACGTGGAGAAAACTTCCATGTAAGCTTTCCTTCTTTTTTTGAATAAACAGTATAAGGGAGGCAACTTTACCTAAGAATGTTCCTTTTTTTTTTTTAGTCGAAAAAGGAATCATCAGAAGCAACTTAGTGACAGAACTAATTCTGTCGGTTGTGGGATTTCGACCGAGGAATATCACCAAGATTACTGAGCTGCAAAAGAGTTCGTTGCCTGTAAGAAGTATAGACCAGAGAGAGAGAGAGAGAGAGAGAGAGAGAGAGAGAGAGAGAGAGAGAGAGAGAGAGGTACTACGTGTGGAAGCTTGTGGATTCCTGACTTACTTGTTTAGGCAGGTCCGTTCGACACTGAGGTTCGTGACGAAAATGCTTGTTGATCTAGACAAGAGGTTAGAGGTCAGAAAGTTGGGCTAAGACCGCGTCTACACTGATGGAAGGTAGCTTCGGTAAACGAATTGATTATGAAAAAGGTCTATTGTCGAAGTGTAGACGGTTGAAGCTTATGTGCAGAGAGAGATGTAAAAACACGTCTTCCCGGCTCGATGCCCACAGGTCGTCTCTTACTCGTGGATACTTTTTTGGGCCGGTATCCGACGAGTCACGTGGCCGTTTGACTGGCGGCAAAATGCCAACCGTCCAAAGAAACTTTGAATGGATCTTCGTTCCAAAACGGTCACGTGCCTTAGCACCGAATGTGTAGCAACGAAGATGAAAGGAGAGAAAAAAGAAAAGGTTCGAGGCAGACAATGATGGTAGCAGGGGGTGTGCCGATAGTATTATCGTCAAAATGTTCGTTATTATTAAGAGAAAAAACAAAAACAAAGTATTTTTTTTTACTCCTTTCGAAATTTTGGTTAAATATTTTGATTTTTTATGCGTCAGTGTTGTAACAGCAGACAATGGAAATTCGGTAAAATGACACATTGAATTGGAAATTCTTGCAAAAATCAAATAATTATCAGGTTTTAATGAAACTTTCACAAATGAATGAATTTATTTGCAAAACCATTATTTTCAGAAAATCTTGGTAAAAATATATATTATTTTTACATCTATTACCCCGACTTAATTAATTTCATTAAAATTTCTAAAAATTAAATTACGACCGCAAACTTTGTTTTATTAATTAAACACAGGACTACTTGGAGAATCTAAATCATTTATTTTTTTAAACACTTACTGTTTTCCCGAAAATCTGTTCCGAATAGTAAGATAAAAACTGCAATAAAACTATGACATTGTTTAACTAGATAATCTTTTAATTGCTTTTATAAATAATGTATTTTAAGGACATTATAGTCTGAAGACTATATCTTTTTTTAATGCGTAAAAACGTGCCCATTTTGAAATTATCGGCGACTATAGATAGCTGTAGAATCAAGGTTCTTGATGAGTCTGGAAACTGCCCGAGCCGAGATAATGCGGTCACAAAGTTTGTAACCCCTGAGAGGAGGAGTGTTCTTAATTTCTCAGTTGATACAGCATACTGGGATATTATTTACAGTTTACACTATTTATATTTAAAATATTGTCTTCAGCTTTGTTGTTGTTATCTCAACGTTTCGGCCATTATGCCTTCCTCAGGTGCATATCGACCCGGGTAACCTACAGGGAACTCTGAACTCTTTATTTAATCTACGGGTGTAGACTCTTATGTCGTCTCGTACTTTTTTAGTACTGTTAGTGTTAAGTTATTGCTCGACCGTTTTCACGGAACGCAAGTACACACTGCCCAATCCAGGGATTGAACTTATAAACACTTTGTCACCAAATTCGCTCTATGTTACCCAGATCGATATATATCTGAGAAAGGTCAAAAACAAAGATGAAGACAATATAGTCCGTTCCGTTAGTAATCAATAATGACAACAACTCACCCTAGAAATTCAAATAGAAACTGTAATATGCTCTGTCCTGAAATAAAACCTTTATCAAAATTCATATTAGATGTAAAGAATAGAGGTTATTGCAGATCTCACGAATTCATTGATATTTTGTTAAAAAATTAATAAAATAATGTAGTCAGTTCATGTTAAGTCAGGCAAATGTAGATAGACAAGGGAGGTAATTATGCTAACGCGATGCGACAAGGGAGGTAATTATGTATTTTGTGATAAGTGAATTGTGTTCCTTGCATGAATGTAACAGTTTGAAAATGAAGTATTTTTTTAGACTTGAAAGATTGAACGTCTGCATCATTTCAATTTAGGTCTCAATTTCTTTTCACACACAGTTATATATAAAGGAAGAATGTATTTAAATAAGTTTTAACATCAGACATTTTTGTAGCAGTTAAGCCTTAGCACAAAATTGAAATTCTTTTCAATGATGCATTGTCAATTATTATTCATTTTTCACTAGTATTTCTTTCATCTTCATTTCTCTTGCTTTTTATTGCAACTGCCATCCATAAGAAGTAGAAGTAGAGAATATAGCTATATGGCTAAATTTGAATGACTCCTGCTGGTTAGCCTTCTAGATGAAGCATTGTCAATTATTATTCATTTTCACTAGTAATTCTTTCATCTTCATTTCACTTGATTTTTTATTGCAACTGCCATCCATAAGAAGTAGAAGTAGAATATAGCTATATGGCTAAATTTGAATGACTCCTGCTGGTTAGCCTTCTTAGATGAAGCATTGGCAATTAATATTCATTTTTCACTAGTATTTCTTTCATCTTCATTTCTCTTGCTTTTTATTGCAACACCCATCCATAAGAAGTAGAAGTAGAGAATATAGCTATATGGCTAAATTTGAATGACTCCTGCTGGTTAAACTTTGATGCCTGTATGAGAAAGAGAGTTTCTCAAAGATAATGGATGGTAATATGAATATCTTTACAAGTTTATTTCTTTTTCTTTTATTTCTTTACTTCATGATCGTACAATGAATTAGAAAAATGTTCTGGTTGAAGAAAAAAACAAAAAACAAAACAAAACAAAAAAAAAAAACAACCGTTCTAGAAAAAAAATTTATTTTCAAGAGTTGGGTCAGTTGTTGTACAATTAATCTTGGCTAAGATGTAGATAAAGAAAAAAAAAGTAGAAGAGAAGAAGAAGAAGAAGAAGAAAGAAGGAACGGCCAAGCAAAATGGATTCAAATGCAGCATATCACGGTACTTAAACAATGAGATTTCATGTTCTAACAAAGGTAAATACTGATTATTTGATGTCAAAAAGTTGCAAATAAAGCAGAATTCTTCTTTACACTTGTAATGTTTTAGTTTTTAGTTTTAAGATAAAGTGATGCCTCGAAAGAAAACGAAGAGAAAGAAAAACCATTATAAAGAAAGAAAGGAAGAAGTGAATGAGCAAGGAAAGAAAGAAAAAGAAAAAAGAAAGGAAGAAAGAAAGGAATGAGAAATGAATGAGTAATGAAAGAAAGAAAAAAAACAAGAAAGATAGAAAGAAAGAAAGAAAGAAAGAAAGAAAGAAAGAAACACAGGAAGGAAGGAATGAAGGAAGGAAGGAAGGAGAAATGAATGAGCAGCGAAAGAAAGAAAAAGACAAAGAAAGATAGAAAGAAAAAGACGAAGAAAGAAAAAAGGAAGAAAGAAAGAATGTTATGTGGAAGAAAACAAAAATATTAGAAATAAATGAAGGAAGATGAAAGAAAGTAAAAAAAAAAGTCTGAAAAAAGTAGAATGACGGACGTGAATATTAGAAAGAGATAAAAAAAGAAAGCAAAAAGAAGGAGAGTGAGAGAATGTTATAAGGAAAGAAAGAGAGAGAAATAGAAAGAAGAAAAAAGGAGGAATAAAGAAAGAGAGAAAAAGAAAAGTAAAAGTGAGAGAGAGAGAGACAGAGAGATAGAGAGAGAGGCGGGGGTGGGGTGGAGAGTGAGTCAGTTCTCATTCCGCCCCATATCTCGGAAAAACCGTTTCCATGTATCCTTTGAAATTTGAAATCCTGAACATCATCAGACGACAAAGAGTCTTTGTCGATTTTGCCATTTTAATCTCATTTTGGCCGAAGAACACGTCGGCAGCTATGTTGCGATTAAAACTACAAAGATGAGGATATTCGTCAGAATAACCCATGTACGGTTTTTCCTGCTTGCAAGATACCCACACATATCGTCGAATATAACCTTATTTCAGCATAAAAGAAAAAAAAAATTAAAAATCTATGTTTCGGATTCAAATGCAATAAAATGCATCGGACCATAATTTTGTCCGAGCTTAACTCTTTGCCAGGAATTAAAACTTGCGGTGAATTTAGCAAATATTCTAATAATGTTATTCTTTCTTCTAACAATGGATAAAATTCATTTGCTATAAGAAATCTTCGATCTTCCTTTTTTTTTTTAATATTTGACTTAGAAATATCGATCTGCTGTACCTAGAACTTAAACAAAGCAATTATAGAATTCTTCTTTCGAATATTAACATTAAAGAAATGGGAACACTAATATCTTTCTTTTAATCTTTTCAAAAATTTCATATTTAAACATATATCTATCAATTTAACACATATTTAAAATATATTAATATATTTTAAATATATATTTAAAAATATATATTTAAAATATATTTATGTATATAAAGAATTATTTTTTTATTTCACGTAGTTTTTTTTTTTTTAAATGTTAAAAAAAAAGAAAGTATATCAACGATATGGTGTAATCAAAGAACCATAAAGCAAATAAACTAGAAGGAAATTCAAAAAATTCAATAGACAATGTTTATTCCGACCTTAACTTGCTGAATTGATAATGTCTGCCATGAAAAAAATTCTAGCTTAGCGGAGAAAAGAAATGATTGGGCCAAGAATCGAATAAATAAAGGATTAAAAAAAAAAGTAATAAAAGCCTATGTAAAAAAACAACGGATAATTAATGTTGTCGTATGTTTTGACGGCCGACTTTTATTGGCGTTTCTTCAGTAATACATTGAGTAATTGTTGAGGCTTCACTTTACGGTGACTAGGAGACATTGACTGGGCTGCAAATCCAAGATGGAAGCCGCTTGTCTGTGGTCATCATTTTGCTCTGACTAATATACTGTTGGGACTGTACCTAAAAGAAACAAAAAAAGAAATATAAAGTCATCCATAGCACATAACACTAATTCTTTACAGGTATACCTCACCCTACGTCGTTAATTAATTCCAGAGGTCACGACTTACGTCGAAATAACCACACTATAAACCGCGAATAAGCACTCTCCATTACAGTATTTATAATATGCACATACAGTATTCTGAATAAAATAATTTCCACCTTATCTTCCAGCGATATAGCTTTACGCTTAGCATTAGCACTGGAACTTTTCTTCTTGGGCAAAAATGTATTCTAAACCACAATTGAAATAAAATTGAAAGAACGTCAACGGCAGAGCACAGATGTAAACGAATCTGATTTCAAAATCGGTGTTGGAACGGAGAACAACGAACGAGTGCCGCCTATCGGCAGGAATTTGAAATAAGAACATCTGCTGAACATACTTTATTATGTTGTTTCGTTTTTGATGATATATATATATATAAAATATTATTTTAAAATTTATTTAAATATGATTTTATGTGTGTTTATTGTTATTTTAGTGTTTTAACATTTTTAATATTTTTAACGGCCGACGTAAACTCGAGTAAAACGACGTAAGGCAAGTTTTATTTTTCTATATTATATTTAAGAAAAAACGACGTGTCTTCGAAAATGACTCAATCCGAAACGACGTAAGCCGAGGTATCATTGTATTTAATTTGTAGACGCCGAAACTATATTTAACTATTATTAAAAATAACGCAGGAGGTTACGGGAAGCGAAAGTGAAAGTGAATGAGAAAACTGAGAATGGAGAAGATTGAGGAAAGGACAAAAAAACAAAAAAAAACAAAAAACAAAACAAAAAAACAGGTTTCAAGACCTGGCGATTGACGTTGCATTTAAAGATTTCACAAAAGCACATTATTCCTAACACCAAAACAACGCATTCTTACATACCATTCTTACTACATCCACCATAATATATTGCTATTATTTTTCAAGCGTGCCATGTTCCTTCAAGACGTATGCGATCATGGTCCTCTACAGCTTCTTTTTCTTTTTGTTAATATCTATAAATTGTGTATTATCATGATTATTTTTTGAAAATAGTAAAATGGTTTCCAAGTCACTCCTACACGGTTTTAAATTCAGGGTTCGCCTTCTACTAGACTGGTTGCCAACCAGGGATATTGTTTTAATTCATACAGAAAAAATCTGGTAAAACGGCCTAAATTGGTTGGGGTGGGGAGCTGGTCTTTATTAGCCTGTCGTGTCAGAATCACTGATTTATTTCTTTGAACATGTTTCCTCTCACCATAACTTCACACATAACACTTTTCAGCCTTACTTTTCAGCCTTTCTTTTCAGCCTTATTTCAGCCTTACTTTCCAGCCTTACTTTTCAGCCTTGCTTCAGGCTTTCTTTTCAGCGTTACTTTTCAGCCTTACGTCAGCGTTACTTTTCAGCCTTACTTCAGCCTTTCTTTTCAGCCTTACGTCAGCGTTACTGTTCAGCCTTACTTCAGTCTTACTTTTCAGCCGTACTTCAGCCACCATTTGGGCACTTTGACGTGCTGTAAAGATTAGCAAGCTTTTCTTGATAGATCTTCACTGGGTGCTCCAGACTTTCGGCCTTGTGTCACATCTAAGCTAACACTTAGTAAATCATTTAGAGCATTTCGACGTGGTGTACGGGTTACCAAACATGTATCGTTAACTCAGTTTCGACTGAATAATGAGTTCGATTCTCACTGGGTGCCCCCCATACATTCGGCTATATGCCACATCTAAACTAAGCTTAGAAAATTGCTCCTTCTGTATCGGAAATTTCTTTTTGAATTTGTAGGTCTGATGAATTGGATTGTAATTACGATTCCAATGTAAGAAATTATAACCATGGAATATTAGTGTTTGAGCCTTTTATATTATATTCTTACTCTGTCCTGGATATTGAGTTCTACCTGGATTTTATCCTATTAGGAATTTATATATATATATATATTTATGCATTTATATATATATATATATATATATATATAAAGAAAGCATTTAACGGATGTTAGATTTCATTGAAAAATACATCCCTACCCACTACCAAAACGTAACTAATAACTGTTACACCAAAATACAGACATAATGAACACCCCTGCCTAGTGGAAGTGGATTCATCTGTAACCATGGAAACGTGAATTATGATTTTAGCTGTGTCTTTAAAACCCAGTAATTTTAAAAGTTACTCCAACATTCGCTTGAGGATGAAATGGAACTAATGTCTTTAATTTAATTACAAAATTAAATTCGGAGCTTTTAGCTTTCATTTTTGAAACATGGTTAGAACTGTGTAGCGAAAATAAAAACCATATTTTAAATCAATTAATATATATATATATATATATATATATATATATATATATATATAAGTTACGAAGAACTTGGTAAACCGAATGGGTAATTCCAAGGAGGATGAAATCCTGAGAGCTCAATGTGAATCCAGAGCTAATATTTAATGAAAAAAAAAACAGACCAGTTTAAAGTGGTCTGTTTTTCATTATATATATTAATGATTCATTAAGGAATTCACCGTAAACCAAGTACTTTCGATCTCCGACCTGAAATGTTATGATAATTTAAAAATATTAATACCATATATATATATATATATATATATATATATATATATATATATATATATTTTTGTTTGTGTGTGTGTATATGTTTTGAACAATAAAAATATTAAAAAAATTAATTAATTAAAAATTAAAATATTCAGACACACTGGGTTGTATATGAACATTTTTGTTTTATTATTTCAATTAGGTTCCTCGACTAGTTTCGGCCAGAATGGCCTTCATCAGGAGAAAAATCCCTGCTTATTATTAGGAGTGAATCACTGTTTTTTTTAAGAAAGTCACTACAAGAAGTACCTAACTCTTTCTGTCATGATTTCTCTTTACAAGTGTTTGTCAAAAACACAAAATAGTAGGATTGCTTTTGTATCCTGACCTCGAGTTATTTTCCAATTCCAATATTCAGATGCTTTTGGCTCGGACACACACCAATGTTACTTCTACCGAGTCGAATCACCATTATTGCCGCCGTGTCTCAAATAAATACAAAACTAAAACTAATCTTTCAACCAAGAACTGCCATTGTGTAGCACATACTCTAAGGTGAGTGGGGCACCCCTAGGCGGTGTAATGGTTAGCAAGCTTGTCTCGCTAGCACAATTACGAATGAGTAGTGAGTTCGATCCTCACTGGGTGCCTCATACTTTCGGCCTTGTGCCACATCTAAGCTACGCTTGGAAAATCGCTACTCTAAGGTGAGTGATCTCCCTTGAATACGACAATCTTAAGCTCTTCAAAGCAATTGTCAATCGTTATCTATCCTCCTCTCAATATCCTATTGCCGCTTCTTTCATTCATATCACAAACATCATTCATTATGAAAATTATGACAGTATGACTCTACATTGAATGGCGTACGAGCCTTCTACTGGCGAAATTTAGTATTAAAAAGGCTCCAGAATTTTTGATTGGATACTGGCTCACAAATATCGCGATCAGTTCCTTGGCAAATCTATATCATTGAATTTACGTTTTATTTCTGGCCTCCGGAGCACACTCTGAATATATATATATTATATTATATTATATATATATATATATATATATATATCCTAATGAACCAGGTACAACCAACCTAGGTTTCACCACATGGGAGCATCAGGGTAAACTTAGGCATGTTATCCTCATTGGAGTTTCTTACTTGAAGAGATGTCTGCAAAATGTTGAACGACTTTTGAAGGTCGACCTGATGTTGTATGGATCATCGATTGTAAATAGTTGGAGGAGTCTAATGGTGATTACGAAGGTGTTTAGATACGAATAGACTGCGATAGATAGATATGATCAGACTGAGATAGATATGGTCAGACTGAAATAGATAGATAAGAATAAACTACGATAGATAGATGAATATATATATATATATATATATATATATATATATTAGATAAATAAAAAGAGAGAGAAAATGAAATCGATAGATAGATACAAATAGACTGCGACAGACAGACAGATAGATAGATACTAATAGACTGTGATAGATAGATACATACATACATACGAATAGACTGCGACAGATAGATCGATAGATACAAATAGACTGCAACAGATACATAGATATATACATAGATACGAATAGACTGCGATAGATATATATCAGGTCATCCCATAAGTTCTGTCCGAATTTTGAATAAAGAAAACAAGTGACCAAATGTTACATTTAATTACAGATTCAATCAACAATGTATTTTCCCTGATTATCTATGACGTCCTTCCATCTATTAAAAAGCTTACTAATTCCATTACTGTAAAATTCTTTTGGCTTTGATTCGAAGAACTCACAAATGTCAGTTTTAACCTCTTCCTGTGTTACAAAAGCTGTTTCTTCCAAATGATTCTGTAAGCTACGAAAAAAAAAATGGTAGTCTGAAGGAGCAAGATCGGGAGAATAAGGTGGATGAGGAATTTTCTCCCAACCAAGTTATTCGATCTTTTGTGACGTGATTCTTGCTGTGTGGGGTCGCGCATTGTCCTGATGAAACATCATCCCTTTTCGATTCACTAGAGCAGTTTTTTTTCTCCTCAAAGCTTGGTTCAAACGCTCTAATTGCTGACAGTATATTTGAGCATTAATTGTTGCATTAGGTGGTAAGAATTGAAAGTGGATTATTCCTTGGCGAACCCACCAGATTGAAAGAAGAACTTTTGCCCATGAAGTTCCCTTCTCGGCTGTGGCTGGGGTCCTTCCCCTTTACCAAGCCACTGTCTACGACGCTTAACATTTCGACAAAAGATCCATTTTTTTCTCGCCAGTCACAAGTCTATCCAAAAAAAGTGAAACAAGTTGGCGAGAATGGAGAGAAGAGCAGATGTCAACTCAGGATTTGAGGTTGTTTTCAGACAATTCATGAGGCACCCATTTTCCAAGTTTAGGAACTTTTCCAAGTTGTTGAAGATAACGATGAACAGTTGTACGGTTTGAACAGAGAACCACTGCCAATTCCTCAACTGATAAAGCAGGATTTTCTTCAAGGGCTGCTTCAAGAAGCTTTTCATCAAACTCAACTGGACGTCCGGTTCGATCTTCATCTTCAAGGGTGAAATCTTCACCTCTGAACTTTGCAAACCATCTTCTGCAAGTTCTTTCATTCACACATTCCTCTCCATAAACTGAGTGAATGTTTCTAGCCGCTTCTGAGTTTCCTTTCTTGAACTCATAAAGCATTATGTGCCTCAAATGATTCTTGGGTACTTCCATGTTAGTAGGGTTTTAATCAAACAAAATTTAATTTTATTGTTCTCTGAAATAAAATTTGATCAGTTTAAATGCATCTAAACATAAAAATAATGTTCAGCTCCATTAGACATTATAAAATACTCTTTAAATTTCATTCATTTTAACAAAAGGTTAAAATTCGGACAGAACTTATAGGATGACCTGATAGATAGATTCGAATAGACTGCGATAGATAGTCTGATAATGAACAGACTGCGATAAATAGATATATAGATCATACTGAGATAGATATGAATAGCTTACGATAGATAGATAAGTATGCAGAATATATATATATATATATATATATAGATAGATAGAGAGAGATAGAGAGAGATAGATATATATATATATATATATAGAGAGAGAGAGAGAGAGAGAGAGATAGATAGATAGATAGATAGATATGATGAGGCTGCATTTTCATCTGGAATTCCCATACTGGGTGGAAGAGTAAGCAAAATCTGTCGGTATCGTAAGGTACTGTTGGGGGTACTGAGTTTATGGTAATAGCACTTCGGTCCCCGACTCCCTGCCTGACCCCAGGGCCATCATCTAATGGCTTCCTTGTCGGCACAGCTGTTGTTTCCGCAACAGTATATTAAATTCTAATTCTATCAAGAATATGGTCAAAAGCGACATGTTTTTTGGCCTTTTTTTCTTTTTCTTAAACGGCATTTGGTAGAAAATCTCTTCAGTGTTTTGTAGGTAGATAAATAATGACGTATGTAAATGGGTAAGTTTGGGTAGGTAAGTAGTTTTCTTAACGCGTCAGATGTCAGAGAAAAAGGCATATGGTCCGTCTGGAGGGGCGCACAGTGAAGTGAATGCCTCTAAGTTTGGTTAACAAAACGATGGCGGACGGGAAATTTTCGCTACGGGCGAAATGTACTAGACATTAAGAGAAGAAAGAAAGAATGGGAAGGAAAGAAGGGGAAAAAGAGATAAAGATAATGAAAGAAAGGACGAAAGAAAGAAAGAAAAGAAGAGGGAAAAAAAGAGACAGACAGAGAAAGAATGAAAAGAAGAGGGGGAAAAAGAGATAAAGATAGTGAAAGAAAGGACGAAAGAAAGAATGAAAATTACAGGAAAAGAAATACACAGAGGGTGGTAGAAAAAAGAAATGAAGAAAGAAAATGAGATAAAAAGAAACAGATGGAGAAAGAAAGGAAGGAAGAAAGAATGAATTAAAATAAGAGAAAAGATAGAGATAGACGGAGAAAGAAAGAAAGAATGAATGAATGTAAACAAGATAAAAAGAAAAAATTTAACGATAAACGGAGAAAGAGAGAAAGGAAAGAAGAATGATTGAAAATAAGAGAAAAAGAAAAAGACAGATGCAAAAAGGAAGAAAGAAACAAATACTGTTTGTTTTTAAAATGAATGTTTTAAGAAAGAGAGAAAGGAAAAGAAAGAACAAGATAGCAAGATAAAGAAAGTAGGAAAAAACGAAAGAAAGAGAGAAAGAAGAAAAGAAAGCAAAAATGGAAGGAAAGAAAGAAAGATGTAAGGAAGAAAAGAAAGAAAGAAAGCCAAAGCAATGAAGAAAGAAAGAAAGAAAAAAGTAAAGGAAGACAAAAAGAGAAAACAAAAAAAAAAAGAAGAAAATAAAAAAGAACTAAAACAAACAAAGAAAAAAGAAAAAGTAAAAAGAAAGATAGGAAGACGTTAAGTAAAGAAAGAATGAGAAAAGAAAGAAAGAAAGAAAACTGAAAAAGAAAAGAAGAAAGAAAAAGAAAAGGTAGTCAGAAAGAGAAAAGGAATAAAAGATAGAAAAAGAAAAAAGAAAGAAGGAAAAATTAATGAATAGGCAAAGAAAGATAGATAAAGAAAAGAAGAAAGAAAAGAAGAAAGTACATAAAAGTAGGGAAAAGAAAAAACAAGGAAAGAAAGCAAAAAGAAAAAGCAAGAAAAGAAAGAAAGAAGAAAAAAAAAAAAAAGGAAGTGTTTTAAGTCCAGAAAAATAGGCAAATGTCAGCAAGAAATGAGGAGACAAAATGGCGTTTGACAGTTTAATTCGCTCGTGTTGTCGCAGTTAAGGCCGCAGGACAAGTGGACTCAATGGCGAAGGGGATAAAAAGAAAGAAAACATCGGAGAACGAAAGACTATGAATGAGAAAAGAAAGAAGAAAAGAAAGAAAGCGAAATCGAAAAAAAGAATAGATGAGAGAAAGAGACAAAGAAATAAAAGAAAGAAAGAAAGAAAAAGAAAGAGAGAAAGGAGAGGAGAAGTACAGAAAGAGATGAGGGAAAAAACGGGAAAAAAAAAGAAGGATAAGCTAAGGAAGTGGAGTCAAGAAAGAAAGGGAGCAAGAAAGAAAAAGCACGGAAAGAAAGAAAGAAAGAAAGAAAGTATACGAAAAAGGAAAAAGGGTGAAGCAAAGAAGGTGAAAGAAAGAAAGAAAGTAGAACGTAAAAAGAAAAAGTGTGAAGGGAGAAAGATGAAAGAAAGAAAGTACACGAAAAGAGATAAGGGTGAAGTAAAGAAGGTGAAAGAAATAAAGAAAGAGAGAAAGAAAGAAAAAAGAAAGTAAGTACAGGTAAAAAGAAAAAGTGTGAAGGGAGGAAGATGAAAGAAAGAAGAAAGAAAGAAAGTACACGTAAAAAGAAAAAGGGGGAAGCAAGGAAGATGAA